TGATTCCCACAACCTGACCTCTGACAGCTGCACACGAACCATAGCGCACTCTCACACTAACACACAGAGGAACAAATGTTTAAAGAGAAGAAACACTTTTAAAGTGTTTTTAAAACTGGCAATAAGCAGCCAGGGAGATGGCTAGGCAGGTTAATGTACTCGCCTAGTCTGATGACCTGAATTCATTCACCAGGAGGCACATGGTGGAAGAGAACTGATTTGTCCTGTGACCTCCACACTCACATTGTGGCACACACACACCCCACCCACTTTATTTGCACTCACATACCTCCACCCCCTCATCAAATAGAAAAAATACTTTTAAGTGGCAACAGATTGAGGGATGAGAATAGTCTTTTTTTTTCAATAATGAAAAGCAAAAAAAAAAAGCCAGATAAGGATAATGGCTTAAAGAGAATGAGTAAGATTAATTTATACTGTAATGATTACGGGACCAGGAATATACCTCAAGGGAAATGTGCTCATCTACATGTGTGAGGTTCCAGGTTCCATCAGTAACACTCCCCCCCCCTCACACACACACCAATTATATGTGCACAGAAAGGGATTGCTACTTCTGAATTCCTAAACATCACTGTGTGACTCACTTGGCAATTAACTAACACATTTGTCTTGTATTGGCAGGGCTGTGGATTTCAGCATTGCTGGCACAAATGCAATGCTCAACAATTCTCACTGTTTCTCTGCATTTAGTCAATAAAAATATACAACCTTACACAAAAAGACGTTCAAAAAAGAAACATCATGGGATTCTGCACAAAAACTAAGCAATAGAAATCTTACATTTTTTTTTACAGATCACTTACCAGAGTCCACCTCCTCCCCCAAAAGAAAATTACTGGACCTGTGCTTTGGTTCAGTGGTACAATATGTACCAGCTCTGCATAGGTGCTAATCCACAGCACCAAAGTATGTTTGGTTTGGTTTGGCTTTGACACTGAGGAATGAACCCAGGCTCTTCCTTGTTCAACACTGAGCTATATTATATCTCCGACCTCCATTTTACCTCTTTGCACTTAAGGCATTTAATTTCAAAATGGTGAAGATAAAGAGCATCTTGCAAATCTGTGAGGATTAAACAAAACACTGTGTTTAAAAGCATTTGATACCCAACATGGCACTCAAGAAGTGACAGTGATTACTTTCATGATCATTTCCCTTTTAGAAGAACCATGGACTTTTCAGAGTCTGGATGACAGGATTAGTAAGCTCTCAGGAGGTACATCAGCCATTTCCTTCCTGAAGGAGGGAAGCACAAATGGCACCTACACCCAGTCAGATTTTTCAATGTCTGGTTATTCATGTACCACCAATATGACCACTGACACAATCAAACTTTTGCCCTTTCCTTCAACCACGTAGCCTCCTTCTAAGACTGCGGTGAAGCAAAGGGCTTTATTTGCTGGTTATCTTTTTGCTCGTTTACAATAACCATTAAATAAAGTTTCTATCCCCCTGCTCACATCACATCATCTCCCGAGTAACAGTCTAACCCTACTCTATGTTGCTCTATTTCTGAGACCCTTTAGAGGAGAATGGGCCAGAAACTTGAGGGTTACTAAGTTTTCCTGCTACTGGTTGTTCACACTTACAAAGGTACACTCAGCAAATAATTATGACAAACAAAATTACAAACTTGTCAAAAATAGTCACCAAAATGTTTATGAAGTTCGAATTTGAATGAAACAGACAACCCAGCACTTTAGCAAGTATTTAATCCTGCCACTTTTATATTCTCTATTAAAATAAAAATGAGACTAAAAATAAAGACTTATCTTGACTTCTAAACTAAAAAAACAAAACCAAGGCACAATAGAGATCCAGTTTTTGTTCTGAAGCACTAATATTCAAACAAAAGAAATGCTCCATATGCAAATCACCCATGTGAAAAATTGCCACCTTCAAGACAGAATGCGGCTCTGAAAAAGGCAATGAACAGTTATTGACCCATACTCTTTCATGTCTGCACAACAATCCGAGAAATTCTTCATCATGCCAACAACAAAAAAAATTTGCTGATCACAGCCAAGAGAACTAAGAGCATCCACACTATTTACAACAATTCTAGAGTCAGGCTTAAGATACAGTTTACATTTATAGCCACAGTATAGACATTTTGCTTGTGTGTCAGTGCTCACGCAATTCAGAATAAAATGTCAGATCCCCAGAGATGGAGTTATAGTTGTAAGCTGCCCATTATGGGTGCTAGAAACTGAACTCAGGTCCTCTGTAAGAGGAGCACACACTCTTAACTTTTGTTTTTTGAAACGTGTATGCAGCTCAGAACTACTGCCTCAGGCTCCCTGAATACTTGGATGAGGTATGTGTGTCATCATACCTACCATAGTTAACACTTTTTAGAAGTCACCCCTACAATCTGTTCTCTTAGGATCTATTTAAGCCATCATTTTTTTTTCTATATTGCTGGAATATATACTTACAAATGGTGTTTCACTATATAAGCAGGTTGAACTCAAACTCCAAGGCTCAAGCCATCCTCCTGCCTCAGCCTCCTGAGTAGCTGGAATCATATAGGTATACATGACTGCTCATGACCATCGCTCATATTTTTTTTAAAAAATGAGACTGCACCAAGTGTGATGGTGAACTCTTGTGATTCTAGCACTTGAGAGGTATCGGCAAAACAATTAGGAAGAATTGAAGATCAGCCTTGGCTATACATCAAATTCAAGGATACATGGAATACATGTGAATTTGTCTTAAAAACAAAACAAAAAAAAAAAAAAAACCCTGTGGTAAATACAACAAAATACACATAAAAATTGGCTCTCTGAATTTTTGACTGGTGGAGTGTATAAATAAACCATAAACCTACATTGTTCCTCTTTCCTGCCAACCATTAATCAAAACCTATTCAGCAAGTATTATCTGTAAATATAACAAATAGTTATCTACTCAGAGCTCACAAACAAGCTGCTTTATGTCTCCATACCCTTGTCCACTATCAGTGGGTTGTTTATTTGAGCTAAGGCATGCCAAGATAAAAGCAAACTGTAATGAAAAGGATTCAATGGATGGGTTAAAAAAAAAAAAGCAGCATCTTTTTTATTTCAACCTCTTCATGGCCAATCTGTAATGGTACTCCCAAATTTTCTCACCCACTAAGAAACTGCCATGTCCCCTGCAGATAGGCTACATTTTTTTTTCCTTGTGTGCAATTAGCACAGAGTATCTGGATTTTGTTTTCAGTCTTTACTAAACCCTGTCCTTCTAGAGAGCCTTTAATTGTGAATTTTCTGCAACAAGCACAGTACTTACTAACCAGCAAGCACTCAGGAAAGGAATAACAAAAATGGATAAACTGAACCTGCTTTTACCCAGGTGCCAGTGAGGTGTTTCTTCCAGTGTGGAAATAATCTAACCACAGTGCCTTTAGAAAGAGTCATCCTTGAACACTGTTGCTAAGAATACTAAGCTGTTCAGTCAGACTACATGGACATAAATCCCAGAATCCCAGCTCTACCATTTATCACTAGGTTATCTCTGGGCAAGTGTGTAAAGCTCCTGGGTCCACTGAGTTTCACCACTTGAAAAACAGGGTAATACTGCTTCATGAGTTACTGCAAAGATTCAATGAGACAATTTTTTTAAAGCACTTAATGGCTGCAGGTGTAGTCCAACAGCAAAGCACGCCCCCAGGACAACCTCCACTCCCCTCAAGAAAGGAAAAAACCTGCCACTAACATAGTCATCACTTGCGCCAGCAGTCAAGTTGCCAGCAATAGCAAGATAAAAAAATTAAGTAAATAATGGGGTTTAAAAAAATCCCTTAAAGCTTGGGTGGTGCCATTAAAAACAATTTGGAAGGAATGGCTGTAAATGAATCTGCTTTGAAATGTTCAGTCAGGAGAACAGGCAAGTGGTGTTTTGTTACAGTTATATTTTAAGTTAGCTCCTAATTAGACTTTTTTTTTTATGCAGTGTTAGATTGAAGCAAGGGCCTCCTGGTTAATAATGGCACTATCAATAAGCTCTGCCCCCAGCCCATTATGGGCTTTTCAAATTAGAAAAGCTATAATCTATGAAGCCTAGGCATAGATTTGATGTTGAGCTCTACATATCTAGCATCATAGGATTCTAGTCACATTCTATAACCATTGTAAACTTCTCTACATAGCAGATCTTTCCATCTCTATTTCCTCCTTACTCCACCAGCTGCCACCTGTTTAGTTTCTGAATCCCCAAACCCCCACTCCGGGGAGGACAACCCCCAAAACTCTGGTTGGGAAATAGGTTTGCAGTTTCTTGCTACCTAACCCTGTGCTGCTTTTGTTTCTTCTTCCTGCCCACCTCCTTACTTCTCAAGCCTTGCTATTCTCTACACGTAGGGACTTGAAACCTAAGAGTATGGGAAAGAAACAGTGTAACAGCAGTGGTGCCAAGAACCGGGGATGCTGCCAAGCTTTTCCCCAAGCTCCATATGCAGTGACCCAACTTACTCAGGCTGGACTTACATTTTAAGCCCATGGGGCCTTGGCATTTCTTTTTGCTTCTGCTCAATTTCTTTAACTATTTAAAACAACATCCTCCAAAAACCGTGAAGCATTCAAATCTAGCCAGTTCTCACAGACGTGGATAAGGTCTGGCATCTTCAGGAAGTTTCCCTGGATCATTTTAGCTCACAGATATCACCCCACCCACCTAGCCAAACATGTACTGTACTTACTGTCTGTACCAGAAAGCATAGTCACCATGCATTTACATCATGAAATAAATGTTTCATATGTGATCTTCCAAGGGCAGGAACAGTGTCTCATCATGGCTTTGAAAACCCCCAGTCTTTGAAACCCCCTACTCAGCCTGCTCGTCTTCCTGAACAGGGACTCAATCAGTGAATTGTTTGTTTGTTTGGGCTAAGGCACGCCAAGATAAAAGCATGCTGAAATGAAAAGGAGTCAATGGATGGATAAAAAAAAAAAAGCGTTAGGTCAAATGGGAGAAAATATAGAAGAAAGGTGTTTGACTAACATCTGTTTTATTTGCCATGAGGTTGACAAGAGATATACGGCAGGGAATGTCAACTGGAAAATGAAGAAAAACATATTTCAGTTTGAGGGAAATGATAGCAAGAGAAACATGAGCAATTGTGCGTCAATTCTGCTAAAACCAACAGGTAGGCCATTTGGGTAAGTAAAGGGAAAGGGGGTTACTAGGATGGCATGGATAGAGGTACAGTCATGTAGGTAAGTGAATTGGTAGGAAGCCATGTGAAGGGGGCACAGGTGGATAAAATGGTCGCCATTAGATTAGCTGATTAGGTGAGTGGCAGGTAAGTCAGTAAATGGTTAGGTGTTTAGTCTGGAAGGAACAGGTGTGGGGCATTTCATTTAAAATCTGACCCCTCCCTCACCTTGACCCGGAAGCGGATGAGTGCTAGCCTCACGCAGTGGCTCAGGCAGGCAGGTGGCAGGAACCAGGCCCGCGGTGGAGGGGTGCCCTTGTTGCCCACGTGTCCCACGATCAGTTGCGCAGTCTGCCGCTCCGCCTGGCACCGACGGCCCCATTCGGCCAGTCGGTCTTTCCCCAGGCCCCCAGGGAACATGACCACCAGCTCCAGGCCGTCGCCGCCCGGATAGGCACAAGCCTGGCACAGCGCTGACAAGTAGCCCAGCATGGCATTCCACTGGCCGCCACAAACCCAATCCGTCTGGTAGCCACCATAGAGCCGCGGCAGCGCCGAGCCCGCGTCTACCAATACCCGAGCCCCAGGCAGCGGAGGGGGCGGCGGCGGATGCAGCCCTGGCGGCGCTTGGCCGTGATGGTGGAAATGGTGAGCAGGGTGATGGTGCCGAGTCGGCCCCGCGCCCCCGGAGTAAGCGCCAAAGGCAGCGGGCGGGAGCGGCGGCGGCAGAGGAGCAGAGCCCCTGGTGATGCGTGGAGCCCCGGGCGCTAGGGCTGCTGGCGGCAGCTGGCGGTGCAGGTGTTGCTGCTGCTGCTGGCGCGAGACGGTGCGCGCGAGTTTGAGGAGGTCCACAGGCACCACAGCCCCGGGACAGCGCTTCTCCAGGAACTCTTGGAAGCCCTGGACGCCCATGCTTCCTCCGTGGGCAGAAGGAACAGCGGCTGCGCAAGCGGGCCACTCGGCGATCCCCGCGCGAAGCTGGAGGCGGGCGCGTGCGCACTCCGCGGGGGGTAGGGGCGAGGGGGGCGGGGAAAGGGTTCACGACGGGAGGGGCGAGGGAACGTGGGCGGGGAGGGGAGGAGACCACAGACTGGGTGCGGGTGGAGAGCAGAGGTGAGGCTGACCAGACTCAGAAGAGGCTGGGAAGATAAAAGCGATGACAATTCGTAGTCACTTCTCTTTTTTCCGTTCCCCTCCGCTGCTCTTCTTCACTGCTTCAAAGGGGGTGAAGCTTCTGCCTTCCACCTCCGGGAGCCATGTTGCCTCGTCTTCTCTGTGATACTCGTTTTCTAGCTGGGGGAGGAGGATCGGGGCGGGGCGAGGAGGATGGGTATCCTGGGAGTTGTAGTCTTTTCCCGGATGGCCTCAGGGTGCAGTCGGAGCCCCTGACGACCACCCATGTCAAGCCTTGATGTGCACCACGTCAGAAGAAGCAGGACATGAAAATATGTGTATAGGATTTGTAACAGACACCCAGTATCCAACCGAGTTGCCTCAGGAAATTATACCGCCATTCCCAGGGAAAGGAATGGAGGTGATGCATCATGGGAAAGGAAATACAGAGGATTGATTGAATTTGGCTAAAGTGAGCTAAAGTTCCATGAGAGAGAGAATTTTCCCTTCCACAGAAAAGAGGATATGCATAACTCTAAATGAATGAATGGACAAGAACACACATGAAACATAACAACCATTTCTATATCAATCCACTTGTTTTTGGCTGCTGTCATTCTTTGTGAAGAGTTGTCCCCCTTAGGAGTAGTAAAACATTTACCTAAAACAGTGCACAGACAAAATGAAATTGACTATAATTTTCCCTCAGTATCTCTGGTTAGGGAGATAAAAACACCCACACAAATTCAACTACAATGTGCACCTTATTAGTCCTCTCTAAGCTATGCCATATGGTTAGGGGATTTGCTTTCAAACCTACTGAATTTGCCCATGTGGGAGCAATTCAAAATTGCTGCAAGGGCTCTAATTTGATCACAATCTTTTAAAAATTATGTTTTCAGCATGCTTCTCCAATGAAATCCATGTAATGTCTGTCTTCTGTTAAGCATTTAAGGCCTACTCCTTCAGCCAGAATACAGCAGAAAATCAGATGTGTCATGAAGAATAGTCACATCTGGCTTGGAATTTAGTGAAAGGTGACCGACAGAACATGAAAGTACAGAACCCAAAAGTGATCATGATGAGTGATGTCAGAATGGCCTGTTAGGATGAAAATGCAAACAAGCTACAAATTCTCTAAAAGAATTTATCATGGGAGTATTAGATCCAGAATGGCAGTGATGGTGAAGCAAAGTGAAAGGGAGGGCAGTAGCATGAAGGGAGGAAAGATGAGGAGAATGGTGTTATTAGTAAAGTATCCTTACTAGATATTCTGCCCAGCATCCTTTTTCTAGGAACTGACTTTCTCCTTGCTAAATTGATAAGGTTAGAGCAAAAAGTGTCTTAGGCATGGTAGTATGTGCCTGAAATCCCAGTACTGAGGATGTTGAAATAGGACAATCACTTTAAGTTCCAAGCCAGCTGAGGCTACCTAGTAATTTCCAGGAACAAAGAAAGTAAAACAAATACTATCGTGCTCACATATTCTTATAATGCCATATTTTAACTGGATGTGGTGTCTTACAACTGTAAACCCAACATTTGGAAGGTTGAGACAAGAGGATTGGCACAACTTTGAAGCTAGTGTTTTCTAGGTCACTCTAGGATACAAATGAAACAAATGATAAGGAAAAAAACTAAACCCAAACAAAAATGGATGATAAGCCACTTATGAAAATGTTAGCCTCAAATGAGACAGCTATATTAATCTATCTTCAAAGTATCCTTTCTGCGCTGGTGAGATGGCTCTCTGGTTAAAATGCTCAGAGACCACATCAAAAAGCGGAGACCACATCAAAAAGCCAGGCTCAGTACAGTGCATTTGCAATCCCAGTGCTGGGTAAGTAGAGACAAATGGATTCCTAGGACTCGGGGGTCAAGCAGTCTAGTCTAATTGATAAGTTTCAGGAAATAAGAAACCCTATCTCAAAAACTGAGGTGGAGGACTCCTAAAGAGTGATACCCAAATCTTGCCCTATGGTTTTCCCAGGTACACATGAATACACATCCACACACACAAGTGCACCTGTACACATAAACACAAAGTATCTTTTCCCTTATTTTAGCTAAAACTTTATGATAAAAACTGAGAATTCCCAGATGTATTCCTTGTCCCAATTTTAACCCTTTTAATGCTCTGTGAATTTGAGCTATGTCTAAAATTTGTATCTTTCCATCTTAAATTATGATCTTAAACAGCATACTTGAGACTGTGCTCCTTAACTAAACATACACACAAATATTGCCTACAATAAAGTGCTTTCCTATATGACTCTATAGGCTCTTTAAAGTCTCATCCCCCCCCCCTTTTTTTTTTAAAAGAAGCCAGTGCTTTGGAATTAGCTCCCATGTGTGGGGAGAAAGTGTACCCTGTGGGAATGAGTAATGATGCCACGAGCACAGCCATGTCAAGGATCCCAGTGGCTCATACTCATGGGAATGATGCTGATAGGAGTTTCGAAAAGTATCAAGCACAGCCTCCTCCTTCTGGTGACTGCATCCTGAAACTGCTCCCCCACAGAGATTCCTCTACTGAGATTATCTCATTATTGCCGTATATGATAAAGAGCTGAGTTTCCAGGCTATTGCTGCTGGGTTTCCATCAGAGTGCAAGACCCACCAAATACTAGCTTTTCAGTATGTGTCCTGTCATTTCTTCATTCTCCATAGCAGTCAGGTCAATCCCAAAGCCAGCCATGCTAGTAGAGACACTCATGGTCTCCTTATCTGCTTCCTCCACTCTTCTACGCCTTGGATGTGCTTTTGTTGTTGTTGTTTTGTCTTTGCACTCACCAAGACATGAGCTCATTACATTTGGTTCCAAAAAGAAAAAACAATCCAGAAATGAGGCATGGCAAATTACAAACCGTACATATGTGGAATCAATAAAGATGGAAATCCTCTAGCCTCCATTGATGGAAAGGGGGGTTGACATTTTGTAAGACATGGCAAGGAAGCAGTTATTGTTCCTGGGACTCACAAGCCCTGGAGCTGGGCATGTAGTTCAGTGGCCACGTTCTTACCAGCTTCCATTCCTCAGCGCCACAAACAAATAAAAACAAACCAAAGCAGTATTGAGCTCAGCTTACTATTTCCTATTGGATCTCTGATCGAGAGGTCCTTGAGCAGAATGGCAGAGAATGAGTTGCATCCTTAGATAGGGTGCTAAGAAATAGAAGCTGCAACAGTGGTAGAGCACTTGCTTGGCAGGCCCAAGACAAGGAGTTCCATCCCCAGCATTGGAAAAAAGGAAGGAGACCAACAACGAGATTTTCACTAGGCCAATCTGAATGCCAATAGGCATTTAAATAAAGACAGAGTATGTTTGTCAATAGAAAATCACTTCTGGTGATGAATCAGGATCATAATTGACCATCCAGAGTAGTAATTCTTGTGAATTGTTCTGAACAGGATTTTCCTAGCCTAACCCTAGATTTCCAACATTAGAAACACTGAGTGTAGGACCAGAAATCTGTGGTTTAGTAGTGTCAAAGATAGACAAAGCCAGACAAGTGTTATAAACAGTTTCTTTGATAACTGTTTACAGGGAAAGAGCTGAGCTTTGTTTCCATTTGCACAGAGATGAGTGGGAGAATGAGAGGAAGCAAAAGGAAACAGGGTGGAGCAGAATAACATCAAGGAAGTAAAAAAAAATTACAGAGGACTGATCAATATAAATGTGATTAGACCAAATGTGCATGCTGCCTGACAATTAGATTTCTAGCCTACCAACACAGGGACAGAGAGACAGAGTGCCTATTGTTCCTGACAATTAAGTTCCAAGGAACATCTCACAGACCCTTAGGAAAGGTATTCCTGAGCCTTATGAGAGGTATACCTCTCTAAGGGACAGAAGAAGGATTGACAATTAGTAGATATTCTAAAGTTATGGGGTACAACAAACAATTCTTTTCATAGCCTTGTCTTTCTTGAACAGCACTGATTTGACATTGGGTTGCTTAGAAGGCTTGTTAATTAGGTCAAGTCTCTTAGTGCAGAGGTATGAAAGGAGTGTACTGGTGCATTTGGTGCTAGACCCCTCTAGCCATCTGGGAAATTCAAACACATTTCCAAATATAAGAACCTCGTTTGGGGCATAGTCCTGGCCTAACTACAGCCTGGTTAAGTAAGAAAACAATAAGCAACAGACTCCCATGGCTTTTCATATATCTGTGATTTATTAATGATGGATCAATGTGTGACTTCTCCTTCCCTGGAAGGGAATTTTGACCATTTTTATTTTTATACTTTTACATATTAATCTATTGGCAGAAGCTACATTTATCAGCGATTACAAGATTACAAGGAGCCACATTTTACTTTAACTAAACTAGAGCAAGAAGGGCTATGTCCATGTGATGCCATTATATCTGGATTAGTAGTTGCCTATGATTTGCAGTTATCCATGAATTTGGTTGAGGCGGGCATGTTTCTAATTGTATATATGGGGGAATGGCATACATGTTTCTACAGCTAACAAGAAGAACATTATGGGTAAACACCTACTGGGTTGTCTCTGCACTCCTTTTCTACTATCTCCTCTATTGTTTTGGCTGTACAAGACCACCCTCCATGTACTTTCCCAAAGAATTTGGGATAGAGTTAGAAGAGGAGAAGTGAATCCCAAGAATATCAAAATGTATACCTTTGTCTGTTCCTAAAGCTCATTTGCATTGTCCTTGGATTTTGTGAGGCTTCCATCTTTATAAATTCCCTTCTTACTAAAATTTGTTCATAATTATTCTCTTTACTTAGACACAAGAGTCTTAGTAACATGCGTATGCAATCCAGGGGAAACTACACTGTCTATAGGCCATACAGGAGGTAGAAATGGCAGATACCAAAGCCCTGGGAGCAGAAGGTATGCTCTGGAAGCAAGGCCTGGGTTTCAATACCAGTCAGCTCCTTATTAAGGAGATAGCTTTAACAAGTTGCATAATTTCTTGAATTCTGAGTGCATCTGTGAAAGAGAGATTCCATAATTTCTTCAACAAGTTTGATACTGTTACAAGAATAAAACTGGGGAAAGAGGATGGAATGGGGGTTAGAGGGGACAGGGGAGGAGGGGAGTGTGAGGGAACTGGGATTGACATGTAAAACAAGCTTGTTTCAAATTTAAATAAAAATATTATCATAAAAAAGGATAGAGCTGGATACTGGAAGAAGGCACATGGTT